TGGTTCAATCAGCAGAATGACTGAACTGAAAACTGATTAAAACAAGACAACGGACAATAAAACTGTCTGTGGAACATGTGCTGCTGCTCCACCGATAAATACCGACAAACTAAAACAAACTGTGTGGGGTGGAGATGTTGCCTTTTACGGATTTATTAAATAGCATATTTAAGGCTTTTATTTTTCCGGAAGTAACAGAAAACGTTGCTTATCCGCAATTTCTAGTAACTTAACGAGACAGTAGCTGCAGTTACCACCTGTTGCCACTAGAGGGCACAAAGCCTGTTCTAACTCATACATCACTATAAGAGCACATTAGTTTTAGACCTCTGACCACAGACATGAATATACAGTCTATGGCTCTGACTGATGTGTCTTTAAAAAAAGAAAGAAAGACAGAAAAAAGGGGGTAAATTCTCAGCCACAAAGTTCCTTAAATTAATAGTTTTTCAATCTTTTCTATATCAAAAATAGCTGCAGTTTCTTTACATATTTTGTGATTTCTTATTTCAAAGCTGTTTCACTGTGATTATATTTTAATATGTGTCATTTTAAGTACAGAGAAGTGAAATGAAAGAAAACGGACTCTGACATATTCATCAAATCAGTTCTGACTGTGTAACGTTGGAATGAACTGATACAACCTCTAGTGTTTGATCTAAATAAGAATTCATAATAACATAAAATGTAGTTGACTCTTGTGGAAGTAGTTTACAGATGTATTGATTAAATCCAAATGTTTAAAACTGAAATAAACATGGAATTGAATTGAAGATTATAATCAATTAGACCTTTGTTTAATTTATGTAACACAGAAAACCATCCTTTTATGTGTGCCATTAAAATGAAACCTTTTGTTTTCTTTCAAATTTAGATGCAAAGTCAAGGTATCACACTAAAGTTTAAACAATGATGGATATTTAATTGCATAAATTAAAGTATTATAAGTGGGAAAAAACATCGCTAATATTTATATGAACGATGTTTATATCTATAAAATATACTGGACATAAATACACGATGGCTGCATAGTGAAATAAATGAAGTACATCTGCAATAAACATCATATTTATGTGTAAATGTGTTTCCTTACCTTCTGCAGAGTCTAAAACGAATGTGATCTTATAGTGATGTATCAGTACAGGGTTTGTGCCTCCAGTGACCACAGTTAAGTTAAATTAGTGAAATTACAGATAAGAAATGTTTCCAGTTTCCTCCTGCACAATAAAAACCAGAGTTTTTATCAGAAGACCTATAAAAAACGATTTTGAAAAGACCGTCGATGTAAACCAAACTGTAATGTTACCGAGCTGCTCCACTGGCTCTGAATACTTTTTGTTCTCTTTGTCTTTGTCAAGCCCAAATGAAGCATGAATCCATATTCCTGCTAATTATGAACCTACAACTACATCCCTGCAGTGACCAGCAGTTAGCCGAACTAGCAGTAATGCTAACTGGCGTGTCCTCTGCCACGGATCGCTTTGTTTCCGTAACCTTGGTGGCTTTTAAAATAAATCCTCCACAAGACACAGAGCTGTAGTTCCATTTGAGTCTGAGGTTTAATGTTTCGCTGTGACTGTGTCTAACTTCCTCGTAATAAAATCCTGT